GGATTGAATCCAGGGCCTTAGCACTGTTACATCCTCAGCTTTTTTAATTTTTTTTTTTTTTTTGTACTAGGGATCAAACTCAGGACCGTGAACTTGCGAAGCAGGTGCGGTGCTACTAAGCTAAGTTCCCAGGCCTCTTTTTTTAAAATATTTTTTGAGATGAGATCTCACTTAAGTCGCTAAAGTTGCCCAGGTTGGGCTTGAACTCATGAACCTGCTGCCACAACCCCCTAGATTACTGAGAACATAAGTGTGAGTCGCCACACCCAGTTTGACAGTATATTTTAAAAGCTACTCCTTGAGTACTGAATATGGCTTGGGAATTGACATAGAATGTCTAATTTTTTATGACAAGATGGAAAGTTGTAAGTAGTGGAGAAAATAAGTAAATTTTCATAGAAAATGTTAAATAAGCATGGAATTGTGTGTTTCCACCATCATCAAGGGATGTCTTAATATGAAGTTTACCTAATCTATTATATTGCCCTCCCCTCTTTGGCATGCTTAGAAAATCATTAAGCCATAATAATTACAGGTAGTTATGTATTTAAAGCAAAAAACTTGTAGAATCCAGGGCACTTTGCCAAAAATTCCTACCTGGATTTTATAGCAAATACAGGGCAATTTCAAATGGTTTCTACTTTGTATAACATTAATAACCTACTTAAGGTTCTTTTCAATTACTTCTAAAAAACTTAAAGATGAAATTAAACATTCTTGATATGGTATCTACACACAATTCAGCTAGAACAACTGAACATTTTGGTCAACTTTTACAGTATGTAGACAGTAAAGATTGCTCTTCTGTGATTTGTTGCCCTCTTAAATGTTCCCTTAATAGTAGGTTATGCCATGTGCCTTTTCATCATTTCACTTGTCATGCTGGGTCCCTGAACATTAAGCAGCTGAAACTAGAAAAGTTCTTACATAGGTTACAAAGCTCAATAGAAGGCTTATCCTTTCATCTTCACATTTAATTTACATTCACATTTTATTCACGTTTATTTACATTAGACTTATGTCTATTTTTAATCTTCCCTTACAAAGTCACTTAAGAAAAGACAGAAAAAAATACATGTTATTTTATTTCTTTGAACATTGCCCATTTTTTGTAGCAGATTAAACAGGCAGATAGGAAAAGAACACACAAGAAATATCAAAACAAAATTTCTCTTGTAAATAGCTGTGCTATTAAAGAACTGGGGAAACATTTACCACAATAAATATTTCAATATATTTTTCTCAAAACCAAACTACATAGCTGTATTATGGATAACTGTCCCCATGACAGTCTAGCAGGAAGGAAAACACAAAAAACTTCTAACAAACTACCTTTTCTGACATACAATCATTGAAAAATTTAACTAGCATTGCTCTAGAAGTGTGAAAATGTAGTTTCCTTGTTGTGTTTTGTCCTCTGCAATGTGTAATTAAAATTCCTGAGGTCATGTCAGTATTTTAGTAGACTTTATATCTGATGAAATTATTGCTTGTTGTTTTAGGAATATAATCTTTCTACATTTCACAAAGCAGTCTCTTAGTTGTGCATAAGTTGTGTCTCTTATTGACTGGTTTCTTTTATTGTTAAGAGATACAAGATCATATTTTAATTCCTGAATTTTATAGTTCAGTATAAATATCACAAGTACAAAACAAGTGTGGTGGTATTTTTCAATACAAAATAAATATGCGTCATACAGAAAACTACAACACCTGTCTACACAGAGAAACTAATGGCCTACATTAACATTAACTCTATAATCTTCAAAATAGGAAAAAACATGTTTTTCAATTTAAATGATTCCAAGAAAAATCAACCCATTTAATTTGCTCCTCTAAAAATAAAACTTCTGAACTCTTCTCTAGAACTTATTTTCAGAAATTCACTTGGAGCCAGGGATTTAGCTCAGTGGTTCTGCCACCTGCAAGTTCAAGGTCCCAAGTTTGATCCCAGGTACAAACAACAACAACAACAACCAAAAGAAAATCACTTGCATTTACTCTTTAATATAGCATTATTCATTTTGTGTCTTTGTTTATGCTAAAACTTTATGTGCAGATTACTGACTTTAACACTTTAACACCATTTTTCTTGGTCCAAAATGGTTTCTAGATTATTTCATTCAGCACTATTTAACATTATTATTTATAAATTACTCTGAAATATATCTGCTGCTCTGGAAAGAAGGACAAACTTCATTAATGAACCAGGATTTAACTTTCACAATGCAGCCAGTTGAAAGCACCTTGATCTACTCAGTCCAGGGCTAAAGCAAATCCTCTGGGAATTATACTGAACTGATTTATTTATTTATTTATTTATTTTAGTTTTTTTTGAGACAGGGCCTCACTATGTAGTTGAGACTGACCTGGAACTCACTATGTAGCAGGCTGGCCTTTAGTTTTTTTTGAGACAGGGCCTCACTATGTAGTTGAGACTGACCTGGAACTCACTATGTAGCCCAGGCTGGCCTCAAACTCACAGCAATTCTCCTGTCTCAGCCTTGGGAGTGCTGGGATTAAATGCGTGCACCACCACACTCGGCTCAGAACTGATTTTTTAAAAAAAGTTATATTAACAAGTGCACATTTTGGACTCATATCTTTTTTTAAAATCCAAGAATATATGTAATAAAATTTGTTTCCCTCTAATTATTCATAACATAGTTTTGCTAAATCTTGACAGAAATGCCCCAAACATCTAACTTTTTATAGTTGACTTTGTTACCAATATCCCACAAGAAATATAAACATTATGTATTGCAAACAGGTACTAATAAAAAAGATAACAGAAAATATATTATGGCTAGACCCTTTATGCAATTAATGTTGTAGACTTCCCAAGTGAACTTTTACAATTGTTTCTAATTTTTTTTTTTTTTGGTACTTGGGATTGAACTCAGGACCTTGCGCTTGCAAGGCAGGCACTGTAACCACTGAGCTGAATCCTCAGCCCCAAACATGTATTATTTTGTCAGCCTCTTTCACCCTCTCAAACTAATAAGTGGTATGAAGTAATCACTCAGACGCTGATTACTCTTGTATTAGAAGTGTATATTATGGGAAGTTTTGAAAAATTAAACCTCCTTATTTCATGTTTGGTACTTGTTGTTTATTTTTAAAAGTACATATGAGAAATACTTCAGATTCATTGTTTTTAGCTTATTGACATTTATAAGATTTGAGCTGAACCAGAAGTTGAATGTTTGCCATAGTGATTTCTATGAACTAAAATGAGGTCTTTTATTGGGGGATGTTTTATCTTCGTCTTCTTCCACTTTGTTATCATGGGGACCAAACGTTGCAGTAGATACCCTGCTACTGTGTGGAATACTCATTGCATCACCAGCACCATCAGAACAAGATGAAGAAAATCTGACGACACCAGAAGATGTTCCTTTGGGAAGGTCTACCTTATCTTCATTTTCTTTTGTGCTTTTATCCTCTGAAAGTTTTTCATCACCATCTGAACTGTTTCCCATTGGTGGCAAAACTGCTTCTCTCATATTTTGTTTAAGGTGCATTTCTTCCTTCACCTTCATGACTTTGGTATCTTTACATAGTGTAGAATGTAATATCATCCTTGCTTGACCTTGTCTGTGTTTTTCTTGTTTATATTTAGTCTTCAATCTTTTGAATGTCTGAACGTATTCAATCAATTCAAAAGCCATGTAAAAGTTTTCGACTACATGTGCAACAAGAGATTTGATATTTTGCACACTTATATACTCAAATAGTTCAATAATAGCTGAATTTAATATATTGTACCGATGTCCATTAGCCAAAAAAGCATTTACAACCGGCTCAAAAAGATTTCCCTGGATGATGTAACGATTATATTGTTCATCTCTAACGTTAATTATCTCTCTCATAAAACGAACAGCACTCAAGAGTAGGAAGGTATGCTTTGACTTCATCAACATCAAGACTCTTCTTAGCAAGTCTTTATTCAAAATATAGCTTTTAATGAAATGTGTGTGATGTTGTACACAAAATGTGCATAGTTCCAAAATCAAACCAAGCAATCGTGCTGTTTGATAATTATTGGGGCAAGTTTTGTTTTTGTCAAGTCCAAATCTATCATCCTCTTCCTCGCTGTCTTTTTCAGTGGTGGATAAAAGTGGTGCTATCAAGTTATGCATGCAATGTTCATAGAAGAAATTTAGAAATTTATATCTTTCATATTCAAAAGATGATATAAGCATGTTGTCTGGGTTAAGCAGAGAACGAAGAGGTTCCATCAAATTCATGGCACCTGAAATTTCAGGATCAGTATCACTGATCATTTGTGCAATTACTACATTAATCAGAAGTTCATCATCTTTACTCTCCTGAGTTTCATCTACTACAAATTGTCGGATTATGGATGGATTGTACTCCACCAGATAAGCAAATATAATTGTAGCAGCTGTCTTTATTTGGAAATCATCCATACTTATAACAATTTTAAGGGCAGGTAAAATTCCCAGCTTTATTAAAGTTTTGAGTAGTGTATCTTTGCTTTGAGGATATAATGTCTCAGAAAATTCACAGAACTCCTTGAAAAAAAATAGCAGTTCACGCCGTTTATCATTATCCATGGTCTTATCGCTTAACTGTGTAAATACTTCAGACAAAAACATGCCATCTTCCTGTAGCATGTTGACTATCTCAGTCTTGTTGAGGAAAATAAAATTTGTAAGAGAAGGGAGATGATTGTGTTCATACATGGATGGTGTAGGCAAAAGAATATCATAAATGTACTGTATTCTGTATGTCTGATGTATCTTTTGCCTAAGTACAGAGTTTGTTATTGGTATAACTTCCTTCAATTTTGCATTTTCGGTTAAGAACTGCCTATGCCTTTTTGGATGAGGATCTGCAGGGTCATACTCAAGGCATCCCACCACATCCATAATACACTCATCAGAAAACATAATCTCAAACAGAGGAGTGTTATCGAGGAATGAGATTTCTTTAACAATGTTATATAAATGATGTAGCCCTTCTATATTCTGTAAAGTCTCACAAGTTTGGAATAGCTGTAGTAATTTTTGAATATAATTCCCATTTTTCAAGATCAGAAGCAGCCTTTCCTTATGGGTAGACGAGACCAAAAATGATTGAAAGAAATCAGCGAGATCGCCAATTGTATTGATTTCACACTTAGGCGGCTCAACAAGATTACTGGTTTCTAACATTTCATCAGATTGCCCTGTTTTGTCTAGAAGTTCTTCTGTGACTTCCACTGATGGATCTTTACCTTGAATTCGGCATATTTCTTTCCAGATTTTCTGACAGCTTTCTGGGTCCTGAAAACTCAGAGCCCTACTAACGTTCTCACTGTCGGACCAAACAATTGATGTACCCTGTTTTTTCCGATAGAGTGTGTTTGAACGTATTTCAGACTCTAAAATCTTTGAATCATCTGAATCTGACTGAACAAGGAGGCACTGGCAATGGAGCTGCTCATTATAAATGGTTAAGACGTGTCCCGTACCTATGTGGTCCAATTGTCCATCTCCTCTCACGACATAGACTTTTACAAGGAGCTGTTCGGCGCACATGGTGATCTCCGGCCTCACAACACCAGTCTGCGTCTTGGTGTGAGCCGTCCTGCCCCTTAGTTACGGCTAAAATGGCCGCAGCCAAGCAAGGGGTGACCCTTCAGAAAAATTATAATAAAATATTGCCACCAGTGGTTAAAGGGTGGCAGAGGATGCGAAAAGCACAAGGTCTTTTAAGATTCCTCCACAGATACTGCTACTATTCACTTTCTTCCACCTTAGCCTTCATGGTCGCCTGTCCTCTATTTTGTACCCCCCCCCCGCTGCATTTTAAAAATGAGTCTGCCCACGCTAGGCTAAGAAAATAACTCGGAAGATTGTTCCTGAAGGAATGTGCTTACGTAACAAGTACGCGCTACTTGTTAAAGGGAAACGCCACCAAATTTAAAAGTGGAGCTTAGAAATCAAGGACTTACAAGATAAATAAATGAATTTGTTTCAGGCAAAATAAAAAGAAAAGGTGTGGAGGAAAGGGGGGGTAAAAAAAATGAGATGGGTTATGTACACGTACCAATTCCCTACAACGAATATAATCATTATGTACTAAAACGTGTCCTGATAAAAATTAAAAATTAAAAAAAAATAAATTAGAATATGCTCTTTCCATAGAGGGTTTTGACTCTTGCAATTGTTTTCACTATCCCCTTCCTAAGGCCTTCATTACACTTTATCCCAGATGTCCGAGGATGGAGACTTACAATATTTGATAAAATAAAGCTTAACTACCTCGGTCCTGACCAAGTCCACACTAGACATTCTATGTAAAAAAAAAAAAAAAAAAAAAAAGGTTGTTTCCACTAAGAAGCAGAAGCCAATGCTCTACAGACCGTGAGGAAGAACCAGAAAAATTTGGTTGAGTTTTGTCCATTAGCTGCGGCCTAGTCTGTGTCATTAACTGCTACATCCTTAAGGAATGATATTTTCAGTTCCTCTGAAAGTTTTATGTTCTAGCACAATGGACGACAAAATTTCCTCAAGTGTTGTCGCACATTAACACACACCTCATTTTTAGGGAATTACTGGGTCAAAGGAAATTTGAGTTGAAATTTGCCAAAAGTGAATATTGACATATCCATTATTTTATTTTTTTCCTCAGTAATGCAGACAACAATAATAACTTCATAGCTACTAATAGTTCAGTGAGTGCTTATTATCTTGAAGAAAGCTAATAACATAATCTATCAAGTAGAATACTTGAGTGTTTATTGTTCGAGATTGTGTGACAAGAACTCTATACATTTTACTGAATTTTCATAACACTCTAACAATACAGGAGCATTCACGATTATTTCAGGATCAGGAAATATAACAAATTGGCAGAGGTCACACTGGTAGTAAGCTGAGGAATTCTGACTTGCACTCCTGCCTTTCTAATTCCAAAATTGATTTTCTCATCCGTTGTACTGCTATCCCCCTTTTTACTTGGCCTTCACTACACTTTCTTTCACATTCCTTCCATCTATATAATTTGTAATCAACATAAAATAATCAAGACAAGATGAAAGTCACACACTTCCTCCTTTAGATCCACATCTGTGTATTGCCAACTGAAAAATAGAAGCTTGGATACAGCAATTCTGTTAAATATAATTTTAATGGTAACCAAGTTGATTTTTGATGTTGCAGCAACTTCTGCAGTTTTCTTTTTGAGAAATAGTTTTTCCCAAACATTAACCCTGTTATTACAAGGAAAAAACTGAGAACTGGACTACATCAAGCACCTTTGCACTTGAATCCTATTTGTAAAAATTACTTCATTTTACATAGCATTGGAGATGCATGACAATTCCCAAGGCATAGGAAAACTTCCACATATCTCTCTCACAAAGTTTCCTCAAGAAAGTTTTATGCTGGAATATTTTCTGGGATTGTGCAACTAGGACACTTGAGGAGTTGGATGCTTATAACAATCATGCCATGAGAAAATTTAAATCAGTACCAAGATACAGCAGGTTTAGAACATGTACAAGTCACAAATAATACTTAAACATAAGATTAATGATTAAACCGGGTGTGGTGGCACAGGCCTGTAATCCCCGCACTCTGGAGGCTGAGGCAGGAGGATCTCTGGAAGTTCGAGACCAGCCTGGATTACATAGTGAGTTCCAGGTCAGTCTCAACTACATAGTGAGACCCTTTCTCAAAAACAAACAAGCAAACAAACAAAAAAGATTAATGATTAAGACAAGAATTGATACATGTACTAGTTAGAAACATATTTCAAGAAGAATGTAAAATATATAATAATCACATGTATGCTAATGGGTCAACTTTTGTCTCTGCTTTGTTTGTATTAAAGTCTCTCAAAATCAGTTATAAAACTGAAGATTCTCTAAATATGCCCTCAGCTTTCATTTCCTGAGAAGCATTTATCACAAATTTATGTGTTCCAACAATTTTATCACTAGGAGTTTCCCTTAGGTCAATTAAGATCCCTTTATCTTAAATAGGTTAATAAGAGTTTCCTTACAACCTAAAAAGACCTCAACTCCACATTTCTTATTGCTATTTCTGCAGTAGTTTCTTTCAGTTTCTGCCTTACTGGTTTTGGGAAGTAGAATAATGTCGTTTTGTTTGCTCCATTAGCTATACCTACCTAAGACTATTATCTTGCAGTTTTTGTTGTTTTATAGGAAGGAAAATAACATGAATAAGAAAATGTCATATTTAGGAGCTTCAGATAGTTTTTATATGCATTACTTACTGTACCAATTTATCTTCATTACAATAATGTCCTGAGAAAGACATTGCCACTACTGTATTAGAAAAAAAAATCTTGAAAACAAAATTTATTCAATCATTTGTTTCAAACTCTTGTAGTCAGTGATGATGATAGAATTTGATGTCAGCCTTTTATGGTTCCAACTTTTCTCTTTGCTTTTCCCAATATGCAATGCTCTTATCGAATTAAATTGAATGTATTTCTACCTTATTTATAATAAGATCTGCCAGGCTGGTGGCACATAGCTGTAATCCCAGCACTCTGAGAGGTTGAGGCAGAAGGGTCAAAAGTTTGAGCACAATTTAGGCAAGTCGGTAAGAACCTATCTTTTAAAAAAAATTGAACAGGGCTGGGGACATAACTTAATGAGATTCTGGGTTTAATCCTCAGTATTGCCCCCACCCCAAATCCAAAGTTGTAACTACGGTCTATGCAACCCAACAAGATCTAGGTATACCTGAAATCTTTCCTTAGTAGCCACTCTATCCTTTATTCTGTCCTACGTGCACAAGCCACCTAGCTGTATCTGAGGGCATATCAGGTATACGCCTATCTCAAGACCTTTGCACTTTTTCCTTTGACAAGGAGCACTCTATTTCTCAATATCTACATGGCTGACACCCTCACATCATTCAAAAGTGTATTCAAATGTCCTTTTCTTTCTAGTGATAACTTTTCTAATCACCCCTTTCAAGTTGCAAGGCCATCCCATCCCGACACAACCGATCCCTTTTTTCATGTGCACTTTCTATACAGCACTCAGCCTCATCTGAACATTTTGTGCCTTATTCTATTTCCTGCAGTCAGACTATCAGCTGTATAAGAGCTGTGATTTTTGTTTCGTTAATTAACTTACTCCCAGCTCCTGCCGTGGGAATGGTATAAATTGTTTCTCAACAGGTATTTATGGTATAAATACATAAATGAATAAATCTTTTATTCTTTTAAGATTTCCAATAATCCATTTATTCTTCACAGGTTTTTTTTTTTTTTTTTGGTTGTTGGGTTTCTTGTTTGTTTGTTTTTGTACTGGGGCTTGAACTCATGACCTTGTGCTTTGTAAGGCAGGTTGTAATGCCACTGAGCTAAATCCTGGGCCCCCTCATATAGTTACTAGGTACTCCTTATGTACAGGCCCTATGTCAGGCACTGGAGATAAAATACTGCATTTAACTTATGTCAAGTCCTCTTAAGGAATAGGTATTTTTATCAGGTGATGCTTCTAATTTACAAGATACTATTGGCCGTTCCCATATGCTACCCAAATCCTACTGTTTTGAATAGTTTATTGTTTATTCACAGTGACCAATGAAATAATATTCTCCTGTTTTAGGTATACAGTTACATGAAAAGCTACTGTTTTAAATAAGTTGTATGTTGCCTTCATACTGTGTCATATATTTCTTCTCTTACCCTAAATGGAATCTCAGGTAGAAATTGTAGTGTTTCCATCCACTCTCAAGTATTGAAAGAACACTGAGTTTTTTGTATTAAAATATTCAGTAATCCATTGCAAGCTCTGTTCGAGTTATGGCTTTTCTTAAAGAAGTTTAAGGCCAGAACTAGAATTAAGGGTTGGAAAGGTACGCTCCACACTGAGTAGGGGCACACAGCTAAACTGTATAGCAAAGTTCGTGGGTAGACAGGAGGCTGAAGAATTCAGTACATAGATGCAATCTTTCACAAGCTTGGCAACAAGTATAGCCTGAAACTTTCCTAGGCAAAGAGGGATGTAAGGATGTATAGTATAGTATAGTATAGTACAGAATACCTAGACAGTTAAGCCACTTTATTTTCGACTGAAAGCTTCACCTTATTATGTGTTTATTGCAGCAGCACTGGCTGTCATCTTTCCATAGCCTCAGAGATACCAATTACTCCTCAGTATCTTCTTGGATCCAGGGGTCATAGTTTTGAACACTTGTACACTCTCAATTCTGTGTTTGGCCTCCTTCAAAGCTTCAAAATATTTTTTTCACACTTAATGGATTTTGGAGAGGAAAAGAAAGGGAAGATATTTTCTTATAAGTCACCAACCCTTTTACTCTCACTGATATCATTCTTTTTGTTTTTGTTTTTTCTTTTTGTTTGTTTGTTTGTTTTTGGTCCTAGGGGTCGAACTCGCTATTTCCCTTTATTAGTAGAATATTTTTAGTGTAGAACTACTATATAATTTGCTTACATGTATTATGTTATTCTGCCTTCCCATTCCACCAAAGACAATGGCTCAACTTTTCTCACCTGTATTGCTCTACCTAGAGGACAATAGGGATTCAGTAAATATT